CCCTTTCTCCATCAAGTATTCGACGGACCTTTGTTCTAGAAAGCTTTCCTTTAAAGGTCGACGCCTCTTCTGCCCGTTTGCGAACATGATTTCGTGAAAGCGGAAGTGGACCCGCAACGACAGATCTACGCATGTTACTGCATAGTTATTTTACCTTGTCCTCCGTAAGATTTACAAGGATTCGATCTCGATTCGCGTTACTATCACATCTTCTGTGGAAATCTGGACGTGGAAAGAGACGTACAATTGAAATTTAACGTCAAAAGTTCTGCAGAAACGAAAAAAAGAAAAAGAAAGAAAATCTTTTTGAACATTCCTTTGAAACATTCCTCGAACGAGGTATTCGAGTAATCGGGATAATTAACCGTTCGATTAATCGATAAAACGTCCGGCGTTTTATCTTCGGAACGACAGTAGCTGCGAATCGAGATTAAATCCTGAATTACTTTCTGACGTCACTTGGAGCCTGGCTCGCACAGCATGCACTTATCTACGAACATACACGTGTATACATTCATTCGTATATACAGTCGTAACATGTACATATATATATATAACATATTATATATATATAACATATTATATATATATATATATAACATTTACGTATATATTCAGACGCATATACACACGAGTTACATTAACGTCGTGATATCGGCACAAGCATATCCTTCAATTCTGTTTATTCTTTATTCTCTGTGCGTCGTTTTCGGAATATACTGACGATCGTGAGTTTCAGACCTTTCCCCTTGTTAAATCGGTGATGGATTGCTTTATGCGAGATCGATGGTTTCCTTGGAAAACGTGAATTAAGGATCCGTGGGCGTCTTTGGTATCGGTTATTATCGACTCGTACTACTAGAATTCTGTCGAAGAAGAACTAGACATACAGATTAACGATATTCTTTTCTCCGATTGAAACAATTAGATCACCGTAGATCGTTTACTTTGAGAGTTCACTGAGTATGATACCTAGCGTATTATAGTACATTTTATTTCCTAAAGTATTTGTGATCACTTGCATGGGTATTTTGTAGATACACTTAGCTGTTTGTTTCGATACTTGAATTTGATGAAATTGCACAATAGGATAGATATGTACATAGAATAATCGCAAGAAGGTACTTCGCACTCGAGGTATTACGAAATATTTTAATAATACTCTCTGAATAAAAGAAAAATTTGAAAATACTACCATATCGATATCATTTATATTGTATCGACATTAACATATCAAGAGTAGTTCTATATTCTAACGTCTATTTAAGTCTATTTTCAAGAAATAAATGAATAAAATAACAGACTCGGATTCGCAATTACAACACTACTATACCAATCAATTCTACGTTCTGAATTCTATTCCAAATTTATTTCCAAGTATTTTTAAATGAAACAACAGACTCGCGGATCCGCGATTACGAGACAAAATTTACAAAACTACCGCATCAATATCGTCGAAAGCGATTCCACTCTAATTTATTTCCAAGTCGTCATGTCCAAATAGTTTTATATGAAATAACAGGCTCGGGGGCACGCGAGGGGGGATTTACAATAACACGAATGGTCTCAAACTTACGATCGGCCGTATGTTTTCACCGTATCACGTATGGGATGTATTTCACGGTAAAAATTGGCTTCGATTTTACGTCCGATATTAAGCCCGTGGTCACGGAGGTGTAGTTGATAGAGGAAATAGGGCAGAGTGAAATGAGGGAGTGAGAAAGTCCGTTGCTCGTAAGAAAGCAGAACTTCTCAACGACACGAGATCTCAGAATGAACTTTCGTTGCCGGCGGCTAAGAAAAAGTAAGTCTCCCGCTACGAACTTTCCCAACCCGGATAAACTCGCAGGTGTTTGCGCAGGATTCACGCTCACATTGTTTCGACCAATCATGAACGGTGTGTTTAATCGAACTTCCCGCTGAAAATCGGCCCCGGGATTTTATGATATTCTCACCACCGTATAAATGGCGAGTTTCACAACTTTCCGTTACATGTCCTTTCGGAAATACAGTTCCTTAATTGTGTTTCAACAGGATTTAGTTCTCGATCTGTTCGACCTGAGGAAGGTAAGAACCAGTCGACGAAAGGAAGAAGTTTTTAAAGTTGCAGTTGGCACTGGTGATTCTCGATCGAAGTTGGAATTGTACGTGAACGAATTTCGAATTTATTATTGCGCTATGAAACTTCGTAAATTGGAATGTTTCATTGGAACATTTAAAATTCAATTCATAGGTAGATTTTTTTTTTTTTTTGCATGGCGAATAAATTGTTTCGAATTGTATATTGAAAAACAAAATTTTCAGCCAGAGTACTACCAGAGTTTTCGTAAAATCGGGTATTTAAAATTCAATTGAACCGTTCATCCGTAAATTTATTTTCGCGTAGTAAATTTCATCTAGACATTACGAAAACGAAATTTTTGAAAATTTTCAGTGCGGAGGATTTTCAATCAAATTGCTAGGATTTTTTATCTGAAGTTGAATTTACATGCTTTCACAAATTGAAGTATGTAAAACTCTCGATATCTCTTCGATTGTTCGCAGATAAATTTATATCAAATTGCCATAGATAAACATTTATTTTTAAAATTATTTCTGCCTAACAATAAGTCAATAATTATTTTGTTCATGCGGAAACTTAAGTTTCTTACTTTCGTTAGACCTTTCAAAGAGAAAATTGCAAGATGATTATGAACATCTACGGTGCATCGTATTTTGAGTAATTTATTTCAAATTTCTTTCTTAAAAAGTCTTCAGTCATCAAGATTTCAATTTTTTCTACAGAGGATTTAATTTGCACTTGAATCGTCGAATTTCAATTTCAACCTCAATGTTGCAGAAATTTGAATTACGATTTTAGATTCAACGTCGAATTTTTAGACGTAACTGAATGAGACGGTCGATTTCATAGACTAAATTCCAGTTTCCATTTAAACAAACTTTAAACACTCCTTCGCAAAAGAGCCTTCCAAAAGAGATAAGTTCACAGAAGCATTCCCTCTTCGATGAAATCAAACAGACGTAAGGGAACTGTCGGTTAAACCGGAGCAACGAAGAATTCCGTACATTCTGTCGAAGCTTCTTACCCTCGATATCTTCCGGATTTTCCAAATACTCTTCCTCGAGTTCCAGCTATATCCCGATATCTCTCGCGTATCTTTTTTTTCTTTTTTTTTTTAAATTTGGAAATGACAAGGGATCTCGAAAACGAATCCAACGAATCAAAAAAAAAAAAGAAAAAAGAAAAGAGAAAAGAGGAGCTCGTACAACGAGGAAAGGGAAGAAATGAGGATGAAAGATCTCGCGTCGCTTGAGACGTGTTGCTGATACACGTTAAGAGAGATGGTTTAGTAACGGTGGACGATAGTGGAAGAGAAGCCTGGCACATATCCACGTCGGCCTTTTTTAAAGGAGGAAAACCGGAAGTCTCGGCTGGTGGCGAGGATGCTTTCAAAGCTCGGACCGCCATTCACAAGCGGAGTCATTGGCGGTGGAAGCTCCGCATCCGCTACCGCCATACTTCGATTCGTAAGTCTGCAACGCCCACAACACAGCGAACAAAATGCTCTCCGGTGACGTAGGAACCTCTCCAGCAAATATATACCCTCCTCCCACCCGCCGGATGTGTCGTCGAAATAACGTCGCCGTTCGAACGATGATTTTCCAGCGCGTTCAGCGTTTCTCCACCTCCCTGAAGGACGCTCGGTTTCTTTACCCTTCTGCGAACGAACCTGATCTTCCCAGTTCATTACTCCCTTTTTCTTCACTGTTGGATAGACAGAGGCATATCGGTGGAGTCATTTTTGGAATTGTAGAAATTTTATGTTGTACTTCATTATCTCTGCGTTTTGTTAAGTAAAATCGTTTGTTTCATTTGTCATTCCTTTCCTATTTCGTTATTTATTTTCGATGGGAGGAATAATAATTTGAGGGAAAATTTCGTTCGACATTGTTCAACTCGTGGTTGAAAATTTAGAGCCTGGATTTCAAAAGAAATAATAATCATCTTAAGAAAGATTACTTGTGATGTTGCTTGTAGTATTTTCGTGTATTGAAACTGTAATTAATTATAGTGGGATTGCACATTGATGGAATTATTTCTCTAATTGTTGAAATTTTTTAGTTCTTTTTAATCACTTGTTTCAATTGAATAATTACTGTGACCAATATATTAATGGAACGAAAGTATTAATTGATATTACATCTATTCGTTGTTCTAGTACTTCCATTTGACAAAAACTTCATGATTTCATGGTTCAAGATTTATATATATATTTATTATCCTTCTTACCCCAGCAATTGATGTATCGATGAAAATTGAATTTCATCGTTATGTGATACAGAACAATTCACACTCCAATATTTCGTTCTATAAATTTTTTTATTTATCCCACACGTTGGTCTAACAAAATTATTATTCACATCGAATTTCCGCTGATTTTCGTGAAATCTTTTTTTAATCCAACTTGTCTCAAGAAGGTTGAAACTGATCCAAAAATTCCCATTCCCTAAAAATGCATTCCCGATCCACGTGCTCTTTCTCGAAATTGCATTGCGAAGGAGCAGCAATCGTGTTAGCTGATCTCGGCACCCTCGACTTCCGTCGGCAACCTCGCGATGTACTTACTGGGTCACGGATAGCCCGGCATTTGGCAACAAAACAAGAGGTAGTCGAATCAGCTGCCAAATATCCGGAAAAATTCACGCTTGTTTGTCCGCCAGCTGGTGTCGTTTCGAAGCGTCCGCCATTTAAAAGTAAACCGAGCGTCATACGACCGGCAGAGGAAGGGAGAAACCTGTAACATATGGTACAAGCGTGACATCTGGCGCGTCTGCTTAACAGGAAACGATATTGTCCTTCAGTCGGGGGAAGGTGGCCGTTTCGCCGACACATTCGATATTCTAAATTCTGAAATTCTAAATCGTTCTGTCCAGGCAGCGACGTTCTTTACGTGATAAATAGAAAAAAAAGATAAGATAGCTCGGCTTTCGACAATTTAAGTGAATGGAAAATTGAACAGAAACGAGCAAAACGATTTATTAAAATAAATAATTACTGATTGAAGGGTTCCAATTTTTTTTTTTTTTTTTCGCAGGAATATAAATGAAGCTTCTGTTGTACTTCAATTCTTTCGAAAGAAAATTCTCCAGCTTCAAGAATTCCTCTATTTTGTGATTTCAATAATAAATTCCAATAACTTTTGTCAATGAAAATCAAGTTTAAATATCTAACAAGTAATTTAACTGCAAATTCAATCGTTCGCAGTGATAACAGTCAATGATTAATCTTCAATCAGACGAACAACTCTGCCATTTTGCAACATCACGATTTGAAAAAGAGAAAAAAATTGAGATTACATTAACTCGATGTCAAGTGTCTCAAAGAATTGGGACTTTTCATTTAGCTCATTAAAAAATTCGCAAACTTTATCTATTTTTTCGATAGACCAATGTGATTGAAAACCCAGAACGTCGTAAATAATACAAGTACAATTTTGTTCGCGTATTTTTCACAAAATAATTAAAATATTTCAACTAAAGTACATCTCTGAACTGCAGCTAAATCAAACGATAAACAGCCTCGATATATCGTTTCCACTTGCTATAACAAAGCAGATAGCAGTTTCAACGACACACGATAGCTGTCTGAACAGTCTCTCGCGTGTTTCATCACGATGCTGACGTTCATTCCGGTGGAAACTTTCACGAAAAACAAAAGAAAAAAAAAAGAGAGAGAAGAAATAGGTTCCTACGTCGCTCAAAACAGAAACTGTCTTCAGGGTGCACGTGAGAATCGATGAGTCGATAGTTGTTGACGTTGGTAATCGTCCCGCGAAGCGGAAACGAAAATGATCGGGATGAGAAGGGAATCCGTCGATAAATCCGTGCACTGTCGACAGAGGGGGAGCTGAATCGTTCTCGCGAGGCTCGTTTCGACTCGATCCCACTGACGTAGTTTCCGCTAACAAGCCGCATTATCCTTGCGTCTAGAAACCATCTCTAGTTGCGTTTCAAGCACACGACATGCGATTTAAGAAAACGACGCAACTTTTCGAGAGATCGAACGCTTTGAATTTCTGTTAACCTTCGTTTTGGTTTCAATTTCAAATTCAGAATTCTTCAATTCGACTTTGCTCAGTTTTTACTTACTTACTTTGAAATTTTGCGCATTGTGTAATTCAGGCATGAATTTAAATCCAAGAGGACGCACAACCGCGAGGATTATTGTAATGCGATTATTGTAATTATAATGTGCTGGAAGATGTAGCAAAACTTGAAGGATACTAGTCAGAATACATACTGCGTATTTTCACAAGTCTTGTGTCGAATGATTAATTCTAGTAACCTAATAATTAGTCAATTAACAGATTTTTTTCTAAGTTAACACTTGCTTGAGATGAAGCAAACTCATTATCGACGCTAGCAAAATAATCTGTACGTGTGAAACGAATCTGTATTTCTGAAACCAGCATGATCTACTAACTCGATTTGAATTTGAATATTTGAATATTTGAATTTCATCTTGAACTCGAATATTACTTTCAGCTAGAATTGAGTTTCGTACGAACAACTCGTTTCCTTAAAGTAACACCTCTTGAAACTCCAATCACGCGGATAATGTTTTTCTGAAGGAACCTACGTCACGGAGAGAGGAAATATAACGGAACGAAGTTTCGCGAGGATCGATAGCAAACGATGTAAAAGTTCGAATAAGAGTAGAATGTAGATTATCCGCTTCGCTTGGTAGTTTAGAACGTCTGCATATACGCACTTGAATTATTCTTCTTTACTTATACTGCCTCGTCTTCTTCGTCTTTTCTATTTTTTTTTCTATTTTTTTTTTTTTCTCTTCTTCCTATCTCTCTGTACATCTATCTATTCACTTTTTGAGACTCGTGTTATCGTATCGATTTTCCCACTATTCATGTGCTCGGAAGCATGGCATGCGAGTTCAACGATGAGTTTTTTCGGTAGACTTGTGGCGACTGTATCGAGAGTCCATAGTGGAACGATAAATCGTTCGCGATAGTGATAAGTGGACAGTGGCAAGGGAGCGATCTATTCTTCCGGTTGAGGAAATTGCTGTGAATTAGGGAAAACTCTGGGAAAAGAACGTAGTAAGACTGCGATCCAGCCATTTGTACGGAATGAGTCGTCTAATACGATAGCACCTGATGTATTTCTCCTTGTTTCATTATAACGCGGGATTTCTCTCGAGAACAGATGAAAAATCTCTGTCTCTGTACGATGAATTTCATGCTGGAAACTTTTTCTATTTGTTTGAATCACGATATGCAATTTTTCTTTTCGTCCGATTTAAAGTTTAAGCAGAATTTGAAAATGGAATTGAACTATAAAACTTACTCCGGAGAAATGGCACAAAGATATTATTTGTATAGAATGGCGTGCAACATGCAGAAATATATAAAATATTCAGCTACTCGTTCACGTGTTAAAACTTTTAATAAACGAAAGGAAAAATTTCTAAGCTACTATTTTTTTGGAAATTCGATTAAGAAAATATAATCTAGAAAATAATTTGTCTATCATATATGTTCAATATTATACAGTAGAACATCGTTTAAATGCCCAAAACTCTCTAGAAACCTAGAAAATCTGTAGAAATGTTTTCATAAAGATTCTAACTTTCACAATTCTATCCTCCAATGGAATGATGTTTAAGATTTCGGCGTTAATTACGCTAACTATCCTTAACCACCAATTCACCTCCGCGACTTCCAATAACTTCCATACATCGATTCGACGGTGATTATACCCAAGTTTTCGAATTAATCATCAGGCGAATCGTGACGTGGATCCATTGAAATTCAAACGAACGAACCTAAACTCAATTAAACTGACGTGAAATTAAAATTAATTAGACGTATTCTCTGACGAAGGTGCCATTTTTTCTTTTCTTTTTTAAGAAATATTCGAACACCAGACATGAGAATCCTTTATTCCCATTTTGTAATTAGCGAAACTTTCATCCAGTGACAGAGGAGTGTCTCTGGTCAATCTGAAAGCTCATTTCCCCGAATTGCTGCGGGGGGCGCTCCTCGCCTCGATTCGTTCGAGTGCCACCTCTGAAAAACCTAAACGACATCCCCTTTGAGGCCAACCGAATTCCACTGCGAATTTCCCACGCTTTTCCGGAACAGTCAATGAAACTCGATGCTTCCTGGCAAATTGACCTGGTTCGCACTAACAGTTCCTTCACCATAAACAATATTACATCGCTCTCGTGTACTGTAAACTACGTTACAGCGAGCCTCCGTATTATAAATTATAATGTTTTCTCTCGACGATGTATCCTGTTCCACATACACACACACACACACACACACATACACATGTATACGTACACGCGCGTACACGTTCTTTCTAGCAGTAAATTATAACTTGGAGCTACTGAAATTCTCCCGAGAGAATGAAACTTTCCCGATCTAAGGAACAACGGGATATAGTTGAATTTATCTGTCTAACATCTACATGACGCTACGCTACTAACGATACTCTAAGCGGTGCACTGTATTTTTGGAAGTTTGTGTACGTTTGCGGAAGATGCTAGAGGGATGTTTGAACAGAGTCTGAATCTCTCAATGGAGATCTCTGAAGGGGATGTTGTTTATAAATTTAGAGAAGAGATCGAAGCTCCTTTCATCCCGATCTTTTAACAGGAGGGATTCTAGAGTGTTTTGGTGGAAGGATTTCGAAAAATTTTGAAAAACCGACCATGCTGTACAACTTCGAAGTCAAACGTGTTTTGACAATGAGCTTAAAAATGGATTTTTCAACTTTCCAACGGGATGCTCTTTAAGTTTGGGGAAGAAATCGAAGCTTTTTTATGCGGATTGTAGATTACTTTCGTGGAAGAATTTCGAATAATTTTGGAAGATCGACCACGTTGTTAAACGTTGTTTTGGCAACACGCTGAAAAGTAAATTTTTCAAGATTTTTGCTTTATATATAATTCGATGCACAAGTCAACTGATAAATTTATTTCGTCAAAGTGGTAGATTTAAGTCGAAGTCTAAGTTATTTTCTTTATTTTGTACAATACATTTCCTATCTCATCCTGATAATTGTTAAAGTATTATTAAACAGAACTACATATTAGTAGGAAGAATTACTACACTGAATCAGAAAGAATTATTAAAAAGAAAAAGCAATAAAATCAAAGACTCGCAGAAGTCTGTAAATACTCGGAGCAACGAGCAATACTTCAGATTCTAGACGATTCACTCTGTACACGTTTCTTTCTCTATCTGTCTCCAGGCAGCAAAACTTTCTTCTCTCCAAATTATCACATAGAGATTCTTTCGAATCTAGATTCATCGAAGCCATCGATGTTGCCAGGCCTAGGGACATGACCAGGAACCACGTGGTCAGCACGGAGTATTCCGACAAATTTTTACCCCCACAGATCTACAGGTAAATTTTATATCAGAAATTCAAATTCAAATTCAAATTCAAACATAAGGTTCGATTTGTCAAATCATCAGCCGCGGCATTTGTATTTTAATTCAAGCCATTAATTATTTTCTCGCGAAGTGTCAAACAAATTGGACAAAATTGTAAAAGGAAGGAAACGTAACGCCAGCCTATTTACTTTATTAAAGTTTTCATTTGAAACATTGAATTTATATTTGTTCATACTGCCTGCCTTCATTGGAAAACAAGCAATCAATTTAACAGAATTCCTATTCGAAATTGAAATTGTAGCTACGAAGTGTGACGTGGGGAAATGGTCGTTGGAAAGGTTCAACGAACCATTATTATTATTATTCCTTCGCTTTTTAGCAACGAGGTTTCCCATTACGTTAGATCAGTTCGGAATTGACGTTCGCTTTATCCCGCACGTAACGTTCACGCCACCAAAGCTTAACAGACCGACGTGTTCTTCAAACATTCCCCAAATTCCCCAATAAAAATGCAAAGCGTGTCTAGTGGGGCAAAGAATGTCTCAGTGGAACATTTGCGTAGGAACTTTCGATCAGCGATTCGTAAGCGTACAAGCACGGAGACACACACGTAGCAAGACCCAATTAACACACACGTGTACTCTTTTCTATATATTTTATAATCCAAGCCTCTGTACACCGTCGTTCTTTCCAAACATATCACGTTAGTTGAAAATAGATTGAACGAAAACTAGGTACGCGAGGAATTACTATCCACTCGAAGAGTTAAACTACTAGACTTTCAATTAATCGTGTTCACTTTGCTATTTATTTATCATTTTCGATGATTCAATGATTCTTTACAAATTTAACACTAAACGTACCGACAGTTTACATATACCTATCTTACCATAAGGGGTCAAATGACCCCTCGCGGTACATAAGGTATGCGAAGAATTTTTCTCGGTAAAAAAAATAAGCTAAGAGAAAAACAGAAAACGAGAAATTGAACGATCAGGTAATATAAGAATTTACAAAAAGTCAGATTAGCGAAAGAAATAACAACGAATGTACGATTTTAAAGTAAGTTTTGAAAAGGGGTCATTTGGTACCCCGCTTGGTACGTTTAGTGTTAAGAGGAGAATAAATGTTTCAACCGATTGAATGATCGACCAATTCAACTACAGAACCGAAGATTGGTAATTATCGGTGGCTCTTACTTTGTAAATAATTACACAAAGATTTTGTCGAGTGCTAGAAAATACCTTCCTTTATGTCGTATTGAATTTAAATGCAATTAAAAGGCTTTTTATTCATTTTTTTTTAGCGTTATTTACGTTATTTGATATTTCGTCTCTTCACATAAATATAAAAGTGTGGTAGTAACATGAATATTTTTCAATTGCCAGATAGTACATTTCGTTTTAGAATATTCCAAGAGGAATATTGAATTGAACATAGTAAATGAATATTACAATCAGTATTACAGTATGCAAAGATTCCGCATGAAAAACGTTCGTTCTTATTTGTCCAACAAGCTTACTATACTGTACAAAGTACTATACAAAATACTACAAATTCTGGAAGTGTAGTAGAAAGAAATAGATAGGAAAATAAGAAACATATTCCAGAGAGAAAGAGTTTTCGTTTCCGAAATTCCAAAATATATTGTTTCTTATTTTTCTATTTGCAAAACATTATATAACGTATATTCTTACACTACATTACACTACACTACGCAAAAATTTCATGTGTAATTTTGGTATTTGTGAAGTATATCTTCTCTTTCTAAAATATTTCTAATTTCTCGTTTCTCTGACTTTTTACGTGGCCTTCACACGTTTCACACGTTTCACTTTCGTCGAACCTAACGAACGAAATCGCTTGTACCACGTAGGGTTCCGGACGACGGTGCAGCCAGGACGGAGATCGCCGAAATGGAGACAGTTCTGTGATCGTAGAGAACCGTAGAGGCCACGATTGCCCAGCCACGTCGTCACAGCGATCATAAGCGTCCTCAGGCAGTAGATCGGCTCGCCTCCGCCATTTGTGGACAACGAGTTCTTGCCTCATAGCCTAGCGAAATGCGAGGGGCCCTCGAGACCGAGCAGTTTCGAGCGATCGTTCGAAGGAGAAACTCGAGGAGGAGATACGAGAAGGATATTACCGAAAAACATAATATATATATACGAAACAAGTCTCGTCCAGCGGGAAGAACGTTCAGTGCCTATGGAGAATATGTATCGAGAAACATCGAGATCACGATCGTTCTTCTCTCGATGAACGAACTTCTTTCATCACGACCACGTTTCCCACGTTCGCCAGCCTCAAGTGCGCCGTGTTGTGATTGCATCGCAAGTTGAAATCCTTGGACGAACA